GGTAAGGTTAGTTTTGTTTACAAACATTAATTATACCATGAAGTTTTCTTTGGCAATTAGTAATGGCAATTATAGCGTGAAGTTTTCTTTTGTAATGTCAATTATAGCGTGAAGGAATGTGAGGTAAGGTTAGTTTTGTTTACAAACATTAATTTTACCTTGAAGTTTTCTTTGGCAATTATATAGAATCATTCGGGTTTAGCCGTCTTGAGAGATGTGCGGCTAAATCAGGAATAAAAGAAGATTGAGCAACACTTTTTATACAAAAAATGTTCCTTATTAGTCTGCAAAACATGTCTGATACACTATTTAATTACTTCAATTATTTTGTCCAACTTAGAGTCTTGCAAATTTAAAAAATATCAAAATTGATGCTTTTGCAGATAGAATAGGTTATGATTGAAGGAATAAAAGAAGGTGGAGCAAAACTTTTTATACAAAAAATGTTCCTTATTAATCTGCCAAACATACCTAATATATCATTTTATCGCATCGATTATTTTGTTCAACTTCGACTCTTCCAACCTTGAAAAATATCAAAATTTATTGCCGTGGTTGTCGTAATTCTCCACGTCTAACTTGTCACATTCGTAATCATGATTAAAAATTCTTTAAAATGAGTACAAACACGACACATTTATCTTCAATATTAATGAAGATATGGTCAACTTCCGGTTAGAAATGTAAATGTAAAATTTGACATATTTGTGATCTTCATTAAAAATACTTTAAAATGAGTCCAAACATGATACCTTTAACTTCAATATTTCNATATTTTAATTACTAGAGTCACTGCCTCGGCAGCACAGCCGCCTCGGTTTCTAAATAATATGTTATTATTGGAAACCTTAAACTACTGCCTCGGCAGCATAGCTGCCTCGGCTTCTAAGTAATACATTTGTATTCAAGAAAACTATACTATATTTTAAGTACTAGAGCAACTGCCTCGGCAGCAGAGCTGCCTCGGTTTCTAAATAATGTTATTATTGAAAACCTACAATTATTGCCTCGACAGCTTTACTTTAGAGAAGATTTACTATAATCTAATTCTAATTTTAATTAAAAAAAATAATAATAAGCGGCATCTATTAGAGGCAAATTTAACGAAAAAAGTCGGTAATACAGGAAACAATAATATATCTAATATTTTTTTTTAAATTTAATCATTAAAAAATTATTTTATTTATAGAAGGGGTAATCGAATCAACCGGAATGACAACTCAAGCAAGATCGAGTTACTTACCGTCGGAGATTTTATGGGGCCACCGCTTTCAAAGTCTCATAACCTTCAAAAAAGAAACCGGGGAATACGAAGTGGATTACGCCCTATTCAACAACACAGTAGAGGTTGACACAGCCTTGTGTAGCGCTAAAAAATTAGACGAATTCAGAGCGGCGATTAGCCAAGAAGTGATCGGAAAAAAAGATTTGGATAGAGTAACCCCGGAAATTATTCCTAGAATAAGATCGCCCTCGAGCGATACGCTTTGCAGCATGGATTCGTTATCGGATGAGCATATCGAAATAGAAATTATTAAAAATCCAGTTCCTAAAGACGAAGATGACAAAAATGGGGGAAATGTTAGAAATGGGTTTGTAAGAAATCTTAATTCGGGTCCAATTGCCGTTTAATGGGTCCAATTTTTAATGCGAGAACAAACGTGCCTATTTAACTTTAATTTAATTGAATTAATTAGTTTTAAAAACTTTTCCATTAGAAAAAAGAAATAAAATTAAGTATTAGTATTTTGTAGAAATAGTATTTTTTGTACATAGTTTTTAGCTTGATTGTAAATATTTTGTAAAAAAAAATAATGTGCCTTTTTTAGCTCGAATTTGAAACGAATTAATTTATTCCTTTACAAAAATATATACCTAATAACCTTTAAAGCGTTGTTTTGCTTCAACGTCATTGAATAACTAACATTTTTTCCCCACAACATTTTCTTTATACTCGAAAACATTCCTCGGTTTTTCACAACGACATAAACTTTTTGTATGTTGAAGTTAAACATAACTTCAATTAATTTATTGTAATGGGGGTTAAAAAACCATTTCGAATCATTTCAAAACGCGGCGAAATTAACGTTATTAAAAGAAACGTAGCTAAACTTAAACGAAAATACATTCAAGACCCTTTTATAACCCTAATTGACGTTAAATGGCGTTGGACGCTTCTCGTATTCGCTTTAAGCTTTTTAATATCATGGTTGATTTTTGGTGGATTATGGTACAGTATTGTAACTCACCATGGGGATTTAAACGATGAAAACTTGGTTTGTATTTCTTAATTCATTTCACTACAAAAATGAGCACAACACAAATTCATTTCAAAATTGTCAAATGTCATTTTTCGTTTTAATGTTTCGATTGACAAATACAACTTTATAATTGATTCATTTTTTAATTATTTATTAACTTATTTAGTTTTAATTAAGTTATTATGGAATTAAAAAATGATTTGATTAAAAAATTGGAAATTAATTTGTTTAAGAATTTAATAATAAAGTGAGAAAAAGTGATCAATCGAAACACCCTAATTTTTTTGTAGGTTACAACCTCAAAAATTTTTTTTTCCTTAATTTTAATGGGTGTTAAAAACCATATCGAATCATTGCCAAACGCGATGAAATTAACGTTATTAAAAGAAATGGCTAAATATACACGAAAATACATTCAAGACGCTTTCATAACCCTAAGTAATGTATTTGCTTTAAACTGTTTAATATCATGATTACTTAATGGTAGAAAATGATATGGTATTATAACTCACCATGAAATTTTGGTGTGTATCTCTTGATTAAGCACTTTTAACTAATTAAAACTAATCACACAAATTCATTTCAAAACTGTCAAATGTCATTTTATGTTTCGATTGACGAAAATAATTAATTCACAATTTTATAATTAATTCTTTTTTTAATTATTTATTAACTTATTTAGTTTTAATTAAGTTATTTTGGAATTAAAAAATGATTTGATTAAAAAATTGGAAATTAATTTGTTTCAAAATTTATTAATAAAGCGATAAAAAGTGATTAATCGAAACTCCCTACTTTTTTTTGTTGGTTATGTTATAAGCAGTTAAAAGTTATTAAGATTTTATTTAATTGCTTTAAAATAAGTTAAAATAAATAAAAATAGATTAAAGTAAACTGAAAAGAATTAATTAGTAAGTATCATTTCTATTAATTTCACTTAATTAATGCTAAAAAAATATTGAAGTTAACATAACCTCAAAAAAAAAAAATAATTTTTTATTAATTTATTTTAGGATAATCCTCATTGGGAACCATGCATAACAAACATATCAGATTTTTACTCCTGCTTTTTATTCAGTATGGAAACCCAACAAACCATCGGATACGGAACAAGAAAACCAACAGAGAAATGTCCATTGGCCGTTTTAACAATGTGCCTCCAATGCATTTTAGGAGTCACAATTCAAGCGTTTATGGTCGGAGTGGTTTTCGCGAAACTTTCAAAGCCCAAAAAGCGAACTAAAACGTTATTATTTTCAAAGAATGCGGTGGTGTGCCACCGTGACGGATTTCCGTGCTTGATGTTTCGGGTCGGGGATATGCGAAGAACCCTCATAACTCAAGCTCACGTTAAAGCCCAAATCATTCGGAATCGGGTTACTTTAGAAGGCGAGATTTTACCGTTTTCGCAAAAAGAATTGAAAGTTTATGCCGATAATGAAAGTGAGAAAATGTTTCTTGTTTGGCCAATGACGATCATTCATAGAATCGATCAAGATTCACCACTTTTTAAATTTAGTGATGATGATTTCAAAAGGGGGGATTTTGAGATTGTTGTTGCATTAGGTGAAGTTAATTATAATTTTAATTGATAAATCATTTTTAATTGTTTTTTAGGGGGTTGTGTTGAAACAACTGGGGTAACTATTCAAGCAAGATCAAGTTATGTGCCAAAGGAAATCCTTTGGGGCCATTGTTTCGAGCAGGTTATTAACTTTAATTTTATTAAGGGTGAGTATGAGGTTGATTACTCATCTTTTGATAAAACAAGATGTGTTAATATACCATCGTGTAGTGCGTTAGAGTTAGAATTAATTCATGGAGAATCTAATTCTTCTAATAACCCTTTAATGTATAATTCTTTTAATCAAAATACATAATTTGGCATTTAAACAATAAACGTCATTAACTGTATATTGGGTTGCATAACTTTAATAATAACGCCTCTTAAACGTCAATTAATTTTTTCTTAATGTAAAATATATAAATTTGAATATAAATTAAATTAGATTGCTTAATAATTCAGTGTTTAATTAGTAAATAATAAATATAATGATTAAAAATTTTATTTATTAATTTTTAATAACCAACTTGTGGTCCAGCGCCATCTTTTGACACAAACATCACTTAATCTCTTATTGGTTAATTAATAAATTTATTTTTTAAAAAAGAAATCGTTATGTAATAAGAAAATCTTTTTTGTTTAATTCATTATAACTTATATAACAATTTTTAATGCGAAATTAATTTTATAAAAACATCATTAAAATTGACTTATAAAAAAAATTAGTGTCGCCATCTGTTGACACAAACCACCAAAACTATTACGATTTAATTAATAATAATAATAGTAACAATAGTTTAATAGTTTTAGTTCAGTAAAAATATATAACTCGTTAAATTTATGTGTATTTTTCATTGAACTAAAACTAGATATTAATAGATATTAAAAAACGACTTTAATACATAGTATATTCATATAATAGATTAAAGTTAGAACTAAATAAATTTGGCATTTAAAAGACATGTTTGACCACGAGACAATTGTTTTCCCGGAAATAAACACCTACAGCATCCTTTATGGCTCAATTTCAACACATTAACATAATTTGAGTTCCCCTCCTTATTCGCGATAAACGTCATTAAGTGTGTATTGGGTTGCATAACTTTAATAATAACGCTACTTAAACGTCAATTAATTTTTTTTTAATAAATTATTTATTTTTAATAATTTCTTGTAAAACGTTTAAAAGATGATTTCGTAATCGCCTCTTACAATTGCCCAATTTCCCACAACAACCAAGCGGAGATATTATCCACTTAAGGAGCGTGCTGAGAGGCTATTTTACAATTTGCATTATGCAAAACACGTTCGTTTCTCTTCGGGCATCTGCCGCTGTTGTTGTTTGGTCTGTTGTTTAGTTGTTGGACAACGTTTAAAACGATTATAGCCACGAAAAAATTTTTTGTTTTGTTAACTGAAAGTTTCCTGCAATTAACTCAAAAAAGGAGGAAAAAACTTTTTTGTTAAACAATTTTTGTTTGTTTGTGGTGTGTGAGTATTTGAGAAATGTGCAACGAAATTTTTTGTGTGTATTTTTTTTATACGGTAAGAATTTTGAAATAAAAAAGTTTTTTCGTTATCTAAAAGAATTCAAAACGTGCATTTTTATATTTATTCAAAATAATGCATTATAGTTTTTAAGTTAATGAATTAAACATGAATATGATCCATTCTCAAAATGCAAAAATCATTACGTAAAGGTGCTGACCATGAAAAATGATATTAATCACTCCTCCACATGAATTAAAATTAAGATCCATTTACAACAACAAAAAATCAAACTCTCTTTCATCCTCTCCATTTAAACTCGTTTCTCTTTCCCGTTTCAAATAGAAAGTTTTAATTTGCCGGGTTATTACATAACTTTTACAGTTTACGAGATCACTTTTATTATTTCATTTAAACCATTTTCTGTTTAGTTTTCAGTGTTAACATATCGCAATTAACTTTGAACGAAAATGAATCAATCCAAAGATACCCCGCCGCAAGAAATAATCCAAACGAGGGATCCACCGCTCAGTTTACAACAAAAGCGGAGCATTTTCGCTAAAATGCTTCAAAGAAGTCTTACGAGCGAATCGAGTTCGAGTTCAAATCAAAGCGGTGGGAAAGAGATTGAGCAAAAATTAAGTCCGGTACCTCAGAAATTGTTTTTTAAACCGGGGGTAATTGATGAGGAGGAAGACGGGTTTTCGTCAAGGGCTGAATCGCCTTTGATGTTTCGCGCCTCTCAATATATCATAACAGCTCCGTCCGTTCAAATTGGGTTAAATAGAACGTCTACGTGTGGAAGCAATTTGAGCCACGCGGGATCTAAACAAGATAGTACTAGGTTGGTAAATTAATTAAATAATTATTATAAATCAAAAATCATTTTTGAAATTCATATAAAATTTAAGTTGGCAACAAATTTTTTTAAAGTCAATTTTAATAATAATCAAAATAATTAAAGCTAATATAATAACTAGTTTAATGAATTAGGTACATAACGATTTATTTTTTTTAAATAAATTTGTTATTAATTAACCAATAAGAGTTTAAGTGGTGTTTGTGTCAAAAGATGGCGCTGCACCACAAGTTGGTTATTAAAAACATTTATTATTTTTTATTCATTTATCATTATGGTTTATTTACCAATTAAACATTTTATTATGGTATATTAATTAATTTTATTTGATTTGTATTCAAATTTATACATAAATTAAAAAAAATTTAACGTTTTACAACAACTTTTTTTGACAGTTAACCTAACCTCAATCTTAAGAAATTTACCAACAACCTATTTCTAATCAATATAAGATTAATTCAAGGATTAAAAATTGATTTATTTGAAATATTATCAAAATCAACAAAAATCTGTTTTATGAAATATTTTAGGGTATTAATATGGTGAGAAATGTGTTACAAAAGTTTACCTCTACCTCTAATTAAGCGGATAACTGTTTCCTAAAATTTTGGCGCAACTAATTTCGTGCACGGAATTCGAAGAGAACAAAAATTTATCAATAATCCAGTACGATATATTTTTTATAAATGAATAATAAAGCACCCAGAATTATTGAGTGTACAAAAAGGGCTAGAATTGTAAAGAAAAAACAATTATAATTGATTACAAAGAGGATGCATCGAAAATGAAAGAGATATTGCAACAGCAATGAAAAAATAAGAAATATCATCACAAAGTACACATACATATAAAGAGTTGAAATATTTAAAATCCTTTTTTTCTTAAAAATAATGTATTTCTATAACAAACAACATTACTTTGACATTGCATTAATCATATTGATTAATTTGGAATAATTATGAGCCAATTCTCAATCATTTAAACAAGTTTTAATTTGTTTATAAAAATAAACGTGATAATTAGAGAGATTTAAATGTCACTACATTTAAGTTGGTAATACATTTTTTGACATAACTAAATGTCATTTTTATGAAATTAACAAAGTTTTTTGTCACAATTCAAGATTAATCTACGATTTATAACTTATTTGAGAAGTTTGGACTTGATTTATATTGAAAAATGGCCTAGAGAGATAATAAGACGATGTTGGAAATAATTAAGAGTAATATCAAAGAGGCGAAGAAGGAAATTGAGATGCAAGTGATTACTAAATTTTAAACAATTTTACAAAGTTATTTAATAATATATGATTTATAGAAATAAACGTATAAGAATTTAAAAGTTAAAAAATTACTACGTTTAAGTTATTAATAAATTTTTTGACATTAACCTTTTTCCGATATTTCATGATTAATTTAAGGTTACATAAATATAATTCGTCGTAAACATTAATTTAATATAATTAAAATTGTTAAACATTCAAATTAAGTTGAATTTTAACAATTTAATTAAAAACTAGGGGAATTTTAATTTCAAAAGTAACTAAATTGAAGTTAGAAATTTTTTTGACGTTTCTAAATGTCACTTAAATTGATTAATAACCTATACCGGAAATATATAACTCGTAATATATGAATGCAGTAACCATAGTTACGAAATTACTATGCACTTACACTGTCCCACCTAAAATGGGTAAAGTCCCACAGAAAATACATGAAAAAATCTCAAAAATTGAGGTTGGTATTAATATTTAAAAATTATGTTGCTATACTCTGTTTTTAAACCAGGAGGAGTATTTTAAATTTGTCACCAGATTGACCTTGCACGTGATTGGTTGAATGCGAGGAAGGTTCACACACAGGCAATTTTGAATTTGAAGGTTAGGTTATTGACAATTAACAGTTTGACAGTTAATTAGACGCATTTCTAATTACTAAACTAACAGAGACTCCGCTTCAAGAGGCACGAAACTGCCCATTATAGAGGAATAAAGTAAAACAATGCTCATAAACATGGAATCACGACTTGTCAGTTGTGAGAATATGATGCAGAAAAAAATAATCATTTTTTAATCAATTTTTCAAACTATCAAAACTTTATTTTCGGTGCCTTAATCGGTCGGTTGAAGTGGAGGCGCTATCTCTATTTCAAAGATAAAACTCAATGTTTTAAACAAATATGTGAGAGAAAGCAAAGATATCTTAAAAATTGAATCTTAATTGAATTCACATACCTGTGGTATAGATTCAGGTAAGATGCATGTGAGGGATATGGCAAAAAGAGCTAATAAGGTGATGGGGAAGGTCTAGAGAAAGAGAAAGATTATGTTTGTTGATTTACTGGACGAAAGGTGTATAGTGACGCACGAAAAATAAAAGATCCTTCAAAAAATTCAAGGTTGGAGGTTTTGACACGCATGTACTTGTTGTTATATAATTAATTAATTAGTTAAAAATGTTATTGGAATAACCAAATGTCAAGTTGAGAAAGTTGACAGGTGACAGCACACATTGTCAAGATTAATTATCTGAATGTAGCCTAATATAATCTAATAATTTATAAAAAAATAAACAATTCACTATAAATAATGTTTGCATGTCAATGAAAGATTTATATCTTAAGATTGCAAGATATATCAAGATGGTTTTAAAATAGGATTAAATTTTAATTAACGATTTTACAATATTCCACATTGTTAAGTATTTTAATCTTTTTTTTAATCCATCGAATTCGAAAAAGCTCTCTTCATAACCTTTTGGTAGCAACAAAGACAAATCGACGTCATCGTCATGTTTTGTACAGAATATTGTAAACTTTTAGTTGACAATAAATACTCTTAATTAATTAAATAGTTAAAAATGTTATTGGAATAACTAAATGTCAAGTTGAGAAAGTTGACAGGTTGTCAAGATTAATTATCTGAACGCTTCCTTTCTTTAATACTATCATATCCTCATTTAACTAATAACAAATAATTATAACAAATAATAAATAAATAAATTATTTTTAATTTAAAAAAAATAGTAATTCGCTTACAATTATACTCTGCTTTTAAACCAGGAGGAGTATTTTAAATTTGTCACCAGATTGACCTTGCACGTGATTGGTTGAATGCGAGGAAGGTTCACACACAGGCAATTTTGAATTTGAAGGTTAGGTTATTGACAATTCGACAGTTTCGTGTCATTATTGTAAATTTTGTGTTCTTAAACCCTTCTTTATTATATTTTGAAATAAATACACTCATAACTTCAATGTTAATTTGTATGTTTAGTGTTGACGATAACAAACGAAAATAAATACAATAATAAGTAAATAAATAAATAATAATAATTATT